ATATATATATATAGCTGGCTCTGTATGTGACATAATTTCATGCAGTGCATCTCTGATGTGAATGACAATGAAGTTAATCTGAATCTGAAATTATAAAATACTGAGACAAAACACGCTGGCAGTGTCCGTTAACAAAGATCACAGCACTTTACTTCAAATATTTAACAAACTCAACCTTTAAAAATACCTGTAATAAACATGAAAAACTGTGTTTCTCTAATGTGTGAACACATTCTGCTATTACTGCAAAAGGCCTAGTTATCAGACAAAAGATATTGATTTCTGCAGTGTTTCATAAAATTATGTGAAGATTTATTAAGTAATAAATTGTGACAAAAATATTTGTTTTTCTTGTTTAAAATCAAATGCTAAATTCCCTTCAAAGCAGTTAGGTGAATACCTCGTCTCTGTGGTAATAACCCTGTTAATGTTTGAATGAGATAACACACGTACACAGTAAATAAAACAATGCAGAGAAACAAAGCAGTGTCCAATAGATCAATAAGTTGACTGAAAGATTAGAAGGACATTACCCAGAATAAACCGAGCTGCGTTTAAAATATTAATGAAGACCGTACAGCGTTACTCAAGCACATATACCGAAAAAAGAGAGAGGTTTTTAAAAACAGAGAAATATATCGTAACAAATCTCACATTTGTCTTGCAGCGCAGCTTCTGTAACTGTCGAGACGCTCTGCGTTTGATGGAGAGAAAAGGTGAAGTGAGACAGACACGGATGAAGAAGACGACAGGAACAGAGGAGGAGGAGGTCGGGTCAGAAAGAGCTCAGGGCTGAGCAGGACTCAGTGATGGATCATGTGAGAGTCACACAGGGAAAAGATTAAACCGTCAGAAAATGTGGCAGAATTAGTACAACGAAGCAGGAAAATCCTTCTCCTTTGGCTTAAAAATGTAATAACAAAACAGAAATAAGTTAATAATTAAAAAAAGAAACCTGCACATTGTTTTGTCTGTCCTGTCAATTAGAAATAATTGATGCATTTATGGGCATTTTTGAAGAAAAATCTCCTTCACACTAAAATTTCCACTAAAAGTTAATGATTTGCAACAGGAAGTAAAAACAAGTCCTTGACACCATCACCTTGACAGCCTTAGTAATAACTACTTCATTAACCTTATCATCATCACATGCAGTTTAACTTCCAGTATAAAAAATATAATAAATATAATATAATAAATCAAGTTAGTTAATTTATGTAAGTTTGGTTTCAGGTGTGGATATTATAGTTTGTTAAACTGTTGTCTGTTAGAGGTAGTTTCAGGCTGACTCAGGTTACTTCTGAGTAAAAGCAGAATTAAATGCACACCTGAGAGGACCCATAAATGTAACCTGGCTGCAGGAACGTGACAACACGCTGCCCTGCTCATGGCGTCCCTGCATCAGATCACGTTAGCTGCGATATTAAAGATGAAACAGAAGTGACAGGTGTAGCAGCGTTCACCTGCGCCTTATCCGTCAAACAAGGTCAGCATGAGTTCACACAAACCGTGTAAGTTATAGAAATGTCTTTATAACTATTTAATACCACGTTTAGTAAACACAGGGTTTTTTTTTTTTGTCTTGACACGCGCGTGCCTCCTCTAGCTAGCTAACGACTCATGAAAGCTACACAAAACAATAAAGTCCTCACCTTCACGTTTCTGCAGTCCTACCCGGGTATGTTTCTATGTGGTGGTCCCTGTTTGGAGAAAGTCTTTCTGTTCTCTCTCTGCAGGCAACACAAGCAGGCCGGCTGTCCGTCATTCATCGACCACGCTGCTTTCCCCCCGAACCAGCCACGAGCTCACCTTATACTCCACAGTTCATTCTGTACTCTCGCGAGATTTCATCCGCCCCGTAAATACACGTGCTCTTTGACACAGTTCAGAGAGGAACATTGAGTTATTTCACTCTGTACAAATAAATAAGTAAATATATTTTCATGAAGCCTATTATACTTTTAGGTAAGTCCAGGGTAGAGAAGATTATGCCAAATGTTGATAAGACTTAAAAACTTCTCAGCATCTTCGTTATGGAGACAAAACAGACTGCAGATCAGCTGACAGGAGGTCACCTTGGAAGATGGACAGCTAATAAACAAACAAAATGTTCAAAATGTAAAAATAATAATAATAAATACACGATGCATTTATATTCTGTATATACTTTTTCCTGCTCAGGGTCACAGAGACAACTGACATTCCAGAAGCAAGTTACAACAAAGACATAAAACACCAATCACTGATTTCCTTCCTTTTTGTAACTATAAGTTTGTATTACTATATTTATTAGGACTGTGCATTTACTTCTATTCATTTTTTGTATACCCTGACCCTACCAGGGTCCAAATAAAGGTACATGCTCGCAATTTATCCATGGCTAAATTTTAAAAGTTGCATTGTTGCACACTGGTTTTAAATTATTTATTACTGTCGTGTTTTTATGTTATTGTATTTATTGTTCCTGTGGTCTTATTGTGTTGTATTATTTCGTTGTTTTGTGTGTGTGTGTGTGTGTGTGTGTGTGTGTGTGTGTGTGTGTGTGTGTGTGTGTGTGTGTNGTGTGTGTGTGTGTGTGTGTGTGTGTGTGTGTGTGTGTGTGTGTGTGTGCATTTTTCTATAGTTTGTAAACTAGTGCGTGAACCTCTGTACTGATGCTGCTGTGACACCTGAATTTTCCCTCGGTGGGACAATAAAGGCTATTTCTATTTTTTTCTTCTATTCTTTTGAATGCTCTTGTTTTAATTTGTGCTGTAGTGCCCTTTAAAAACCAAACAAAATTTCTCCCAAGGGAGATATTAAAATATATCTAAACAATAAATAGTATTGACTTGACAAACCCTGCCTCAATTCAAACTAAACCTAACCCCCAACCCCAAAATTATGTTCCACCATAGCAGGACTGCTTGTTCATCCCCAAAAGGACTGCTGGTCCTGACAGTGTTTATACCAGAAAATGTTCTAAAGGGTAAGAACAACCAGATAGGCAGACACAAAGGCCTGTTAATTTCCCATTTAAATGGTGCCACATTTGTAAGGAACATGCATTTGTGTGATGAGCAGTAAAGCTAAATACTGTGTGTTGGTGGTACACATGGAAGATTTGCCAAATCTCTGCTAAACAGCTGATTCTGCTGTTATTGACTCTTGTTTTGAGCTTCTGATTCCCTCAGATGCTGCCATTCAGGTGCAGGTATAGGATTTATTATCAAGAGAAGCTTTGTTACAACAAGGAAATAATCTACCAAATACAAAATTCCCTACTTTTTGAGCTAAATATATAAAAGTTTGTATTTCAATCTTTATTAGGACTGTGTATTGACACCACTCATTTCCATTCATTTTGCCTAGAGCCTAACCCTGACAGCCAGTAAAGGTCCTAAAAGGTTACCCCCCCCCCCCCCCCCCCCCCACACACACACACACATATATGTTTGCACAGCTATCCATTTGGGGACATTCCATTGACTTCCATTACATTTCTACAGCCTAACCCTGACCACAAACCCTGAGGCTAACCTCACAGGTACCTACTGTACCTGACCCTAAAACTAACCTAAACTCAATTCACACCTTGGTCCTAAACCCAACCCCCAACCCACCAGTGGCATTTAAACCAAACAGGGACTCAATTCAGGTCTCCAAAGGCACCAGTTGTCCCCAAAGTCAGGCGTTTTGTCTTAAAATTACCCCCAAATATCACTAAAAACAACCGCCCCACCACACACACACACACACACACACACACACACACACACACACACACACACACA